TGCAAGTTCGTTTGGTGGACGCTGTGAGTCGAAGAGCCCGCCCCGGCTTGCAACTTTTTCTTCGCGCACACTCGTAAGACTGGCGGAGCATTGGCAGGTGAGGGATGTTCCGAATTCCGGCATTTCAGGGCTCTTGATGTGCATGGCTCAGGGTGTAGTGCGAGGCAAAGAGGGAACTCACGGATCTTGGCTCAGGCCTCCCCCACGCCCACTCGGAACATGCCGCACGGATGTTCTGCCCACAAAGCCTAGCTGTTATGCCGGGGATGTGGCAGAGTAAGACTCCCAAGCAGCTTCGCGAAGACCAAAGGACTGCGGCTTCTAGCTGCTACAGATGCTCCACTTAGGCAAGCTTTTTATGGGACTTTCCGGAAATAGGGGACCCTCATATAGTACCCTAAATAGTAGGATCCTAATTATAAGGGTCCCAAAATAAGATACCCCTATTTTCGGAAATTCCCATTTTCGCCACAGGAATCGATATAAAACCTGTTCAGGGAACTCGGTGCTCTTTGCAGCACGGACTTTCGCGACGCGGCTTGGGAGGCTCATGGCGGGCGGAAGCCATCCAGGTACATCTCCGCCGAGATTGGGGATTGGCTACTTGGAGACTTTGGGTGAAGGTTGAGAGGAGTTAGTAAAGGGGGCTAGCTCAGGGTCTAGGCAAAGGTTTAGAGATTCTGGCTCGGGGCCGTCAGGCTTCATCTAGGTGGTTGTCAAAATTATGGCCCCCTTTCTGGGTACCCTAAATATTAGGTGCCGTACTATAATAGGGACCCCAAGAGAGTATCATAATTTTGACAACCACCCATCTACCAGCAGAAACCCTGAATCTGAAGAGCCACAACCTCCCCACTCCTCATGTGTTGTTGCTATTGTCTTCTGGTTGATACTACTATTACTACTAGTTACTGCTTGCACCAACCATGCGTCTTCGATCGCGAACCCTTCCTTCGAAGCCCTAGGTCTCAGAGCTTTGCTAGCAGGGTTTCTTTGGATGGCGTCGCCGCTCACATGTTAAAGTCTTCAAATGAACAGAGAGCCCGAGACCACAAGATCGTAAGGAGCTTTCGTAAACAAGAGCTGCATGCACAGATTGCTGCTGAAACGATCCTCTGAACGGTTTGGTAAACTTACTGAAAGTTGGGGACTTCCTTCACGGCGCCATAAGGTATACTCCTTGAGCTGCAGTCAGAGGCCATTCCTGAAGGACCAAATGACCCTTAAAAGCAGGGGCCCTATACCCAAATACTATGAAACCCTATATGGTATATGAACCATAACCCTTTTAGGGTTCATTTCGTCCTTAAGGTTGTGGACATCTTGCGAAACCCGCAGGGTGTGTCAGAGCTGCGCAGCACGTCGGACGATTGCTCGCGCCAGCTCGGCTTTGGTGGGGTCGGTGCCTGGCGCTTTTTCGCAGGGATCCATAAGGTTCTAAGAGGGTTTTTGGGGGGTTCTTGCTACGGTTCGGAGGTTTAGGATTTTGGGGTTTAAGGTTTAGGGGCTTAAGGCATATAGGGGTTGATGCCCGGCTGAATCAACCTTTTGGGGTTCGTGGCCTTCTGCCTCTGTGGCTTGTTCCTGACCTGTTGCCATCTTGGGTTGACTGTTCGGGATCTAGGGCCCATGGTTGTGGGATTTAGGGTTTGTTTAACAGCCTAGGACATCCTCTAGACTCTAGACCCCAAGCGTGCGCAAGTTTAAACATGAACGTGGGGCTTAAAATATTGGGCCTGCGGTCTTCACGACAAACGCGATCCTAAAACCGAATGTACTCAACAATGAGAATAGAGGGTGTTGGAGCATGAATCAGAAAAATAACTTGATCCTGAATCCTGAGTCAGTCCCTACTTATGCATTTCCAGCCCTCACCCAAGCCTGAAAAAGCCTGAAAGCCAAACTTCCCGAAGCATCTGATCGTAGTCCCACCTGTACACTCGCCAAAGCGACAGGTTCAAACAACAATCCCGAAACAAAGCACTGAAATTACAGAAATTCCGTCAGCAAATTCCACAAACCCTCAACCACAGACCTCACACCCCCACGAGCTTCCTACACAGAAAAGTTCAAAACCCACCATCTTCAAGCCCAAGCATTTGCTGAGGAGTACTTGCAACCCAAACCCGTCAGCCCCAAACCCGCAGAGCCCTTATAAATCCTAAGAGCCCTATCTGTAAAACCCTGGTAAACCCTAAGAGCCCTGTCTGCAAAACCCTGAAGACCTCGACCCACTGAAAAAAAAAGCACAACAAGCCCTCAGACAAGCGGCGCCCGAGCGGATTCTCCTGGTTTCGGACCAAGTCCGCGCCCCAGGACTCCTCAGGTGCTGTGCCGTGGTTTGTTTCATGTAAACTCTGGCCTTTCTGCGCCGCTGAATTTTTTTTGAGGAGAGAGAGAGAGAGAGAGAGAGAGACATACACACGCACACACACACACACATATATATATATATATATATGTATATGTATATGTATGTATGTATATACATACATACATACGTACATGCATACATACATATATACACATATACCTACAGCTATGCACGCATATAAGTGTGCGCATATATGTTTTACCGTGTGAACCTATATATATACACACACTTCAGCCTGTGTATTTACATTATGCTATGCCTTGAAAGATTTTCTCGTGTTGCTTTAGGCTTCTGGAGAAGAGTCTTCGGGACCTGAGCGAAATTGCCACAGACTCCAACACCTGTGGATACGACACCTCTGCAAAGCCTCGATGCGCTGAACCCTATACCCGTTTTCAGCCGAACTAGGGGGGGAAATTGCTTCAGTCTTGACCTTAAACTCAGAGGGAACCCAACCCATCACTTCTCGGACGAGCTGCTCGCTCGCCCAGCCATGCACGTCCTGCATCTCGAAAAGCTTCATGCTTTATATTCAAGCCTGCTTCGAGGGCCTTCACAGCCTGAACAGTTGGACAAGGTTTTGGTGTATGTTATGCATTGCTCTATAGTTGTACTAATGAACCCAAGATAGCCCCCATATTCCACTGCCAACCCGAAGACTGGACTCAAGGCTGCGGGTGTAGAGTGTCCAGGGGCTTAAATTTAGCAGTGGCAGCCGTACACCGTAAGACTCTTCGAGGCTATGAGGATCCTTGTGGCGGCAAAGTTTATAGGGTCGTAGACATGATACACAACTGAATGAAACAACTCGTATGATGCTTTCGCAATCCCAAACAGACCTCGCGCCAACTGTTGAACTGCAAAGTGCTCAGGACTCTGAACTATCCACTTAGATCCATACTCAACACAACTACTCGGCGCAATAGTCTGGTGTGAAGTCCCTGTAGTAGCTCCTCATATGGGAAATTATGAAGAAGGACAGCTAGCAATAATTCCCAAGGAACACCCAGCAAAGTCCTTGCTTGTCGACCAAAAGATCCACTCGCAGGTACCTTCGCATGGCGAGGCTCTGCAAGTCCATGCACGTTAATGGTGGAACGAAGCCTTTCTTAAGGAAAGTTTCTTCACACGGTTACAGTGTTGAGCTCTCTGAGCAAGATCGGCACTGCCAGAGCCACAACCCTGCCTGACTTCCAACCCTAGACCCCAAAAAGATAGACGAGGCCTACTTCCGAAATTCCACACTAGATTTCTAGACCCTTCATGTGCCATGTGGCTGTGGAATTTCGCCACCAGCATCTGCTGCTGCTTCTGCGACCACCTCTTCCACCTTGAGTCATTGGTACGGTTCGTTGAGGCAAGACTTCCTTAGGGTCATACCACGTTAGGGTTCTACAAGGGTTCCTTTAAAGGTTCATAAGTTTGCCTTGGGTTCAATGTTCTTTGTAAATCAACGCAATGCTTTGGGTGGAGGGAGGTAAAGGCCACTGCATTATAAGCACTGGGCTACCGGACCTTAGACTTAGGTTTCGTTCAACAAATACTGCAACCGAAGCGTTTATATAGGGTTTTACAAGGGTTCAAGAGTGCTTGGAAAAAAACAACCCATAACGGTTGAGATCTCTAATGAGTTCACCAGTCGATATTTACCGGTTAGCTCGGGCTTCGGAAGATTTCACTAGCAAAAGACTTAGATTCTGAAGGCAGCATGCAGTCTCAGGAAGACGTAGAACCTTTATTTTGAAACTCCGGTAGTTGAGGTCCTTATCAACCATGCAACTTGTAGGGCCTAGAACCCGTATGCAACACCTATATACACACCCATTGTAAAGCTGTTATGTAATGTGTTTGGAACCCTTGTGGAACCCAAGTGTAACCCCAAACCCTAGACCCTTAGCCTGTATCATCGCTGCGACGAGCCTTAAACGCAAAAAACTTGCTTTGCCCCCCGTGGCTACGGCTTGTTGCTTTCGTTTAGGCTTAAGGGTTTGCTGCCGAAGGTATTTGGTCGAGGACCTTTTCCCAGCAGCAGGATACCCCATTAGCCCGTTTGGGGAGGTCTGGTTGCACTACCTCGTGCCTGGGGTTAAGGTTTAGGGTTTAGGGCAGTATTAGGGTAAGACAGTCTATGCAACGTGGACAAACAGACACAAACCGCAAAAAATGCAAGTCCGGCAAGAATACTCGAATTTTCTAACCAGAAGGCCTGGGCCAGGAGGACAGGGTAGCAAGCAGAAACAACGCAGTCCCCGTCAAGCAAGCCATGCACACCACAGAAATCAGTGAAGGAAAGCACGAAACACATCCCTGGAAAAGCTAAACGGCCTCGGCTTCTGGGGTCTGGTCATCTACGCATATCTTAGCTGAAAGTCAATAAGGTTTTTGATATTTAAGGGTTAGTCTTACGGCCTTCCGGTTTATTGAACCTGTTCGTGTTCCCAACACCCGCACATGTGTCAATCTGCCACACATTTTTTTCCCTCACCCTTCAGCTGTACACTGGGTCCAATGGGGAGCGACGTGCTGCCCTAAACTTTGGCTGTGACTATAAGCTTGTAATACAGGTTTGAGGAGGCTTATAGACACCAAGAAGCTTCTGAGTCTTTTGAGCTGTTTCTGTGGCCTTTCAGTTTCCCGGGTATCCAGCAGATCCGGCACCGGATGCCCCAGCATCTGTGAGCAGCGTTGCAACTGCATCGTTTCCATGCTTCTGCGCAATGCGCAGCGGCGTGGCGCCGGTAAACAAGCAGGCTCTGTTCACGTCAGCACCAGCCTGGATCAGCAGCCGAGTGCACTCAAGGTTGCCACAGCCAGCTGCCTCAAGCAACGGTGTGAAACTGTCGACGTCGGCCCGTCCCGCATCCGCCCGATATGCCAGCAATAGGTTCACAGTCTCTGGATGACCCAACTCTGCTGCCCTCAACAGCGGCGTCCTGCCTCGGGCATCAGCGAAGTCTGTCTCTGCTCGGTTTTCCAGCAACTGCTTGACGACTTCGTGATGGCCGCTTCTACTTGCCAAGTGCAGGGACGTCTCGGCTCTGCAGTTCTTCAGGTTGAGATCGGCCTTGGCCTCCACCAGCAAATGCATCCTGTCTGACTGGCCAGCCTGTGACATCCAATGCAAAGGGGCGCAGCCCTCCGCATCGACCGTCTTGTTCACATCAGCCGTCCTTGCTATCAGCAAGCGCGCCATTTCCATGGATTCTACATCTTGCGGCTTCAGAAAGGCGTGGTGCAAAGCTGTCCGCCCAAGAGAATCAACAGCATCTATGCTCGCTCTTGCATCCAGCAACAGACGGACCATGTACCAGTCAAACTGTTCGGATGCGATCAGCAAGGCCGGCGCTTGATGCGAATCTGGAGACGAGCTCCAATCAGCTCTAGCTTCCAATAGCAGTCGCGCGATGTCTAAGCGACGGTTGCCCAGTGCGATCTGGAGAGCAGTTGTTCCGCTCGCCGTCGCCTGATCCAAGTCTGCTGTTTGCTGGATGAGCATCTGTACCGCATCCAAATTTCCCGAGTCTGCCGCGAGAAAGAGCGGCGTTGCATTTCGGGAGTCGGTAATATTGACAGAAGCTCGGGCTTCCAACAGAGCTTGCAGAACCATCACATGACCACGACGGCACACCCAGTGTAGGGGCGCTCTGCCATCATCACCCGGCTCGTTTACATCAATGCCTGTTCGCAGAACCAACTTTGTGACGTCCACGTTACCAAGCTCGAAAGCTTCGCGATGAGCTCCGCTAATCTCTGCACCGGCTGAAATAAGCAAGCCTGGGTTCTTCTTCAAGGAACTTGGTTTAAGTTGCCATAATAATGAAACAGCATTATTTAATGCTGCCTACGAAAGATCCCCTTAAAACAAATTCCTTCACCAGTCCCGAACAGTAAGGAAACCAATTAATTGCTACAGACCTACTTACATATATGGTGACTGAAACAGCTATTATTATCGCTGCCAGTGTTCAGTATTCTGATGACGATTATATTATTGTTCATATTATCACCTTTTAGCACTATATACTCGTAAAACTATCGTTATTGTTCCTGCTGTTTTTCATTGTTTTTCATATAATCGCTATGAAAATTATTGTTGCTATCATATGATTGTTGGCAGTATTATTAGTATCTCTTTTGGCAGTGCTATTATTTCGTGTTTCTATTACTACTCTTCTTCACGTTCTAACTTTATCGCTATTACGCTAAACCCTAAGCCCTAAAACCCTAAACCCCCAATTAAACCCTAAACCCCTTTTTTAAGCACGGACTTGGAGTGTATACCCCTAAACCCTCAACAAAAGCCCAGGAGCCGGCGACCTCCAGGTGCCTTTGCTGAAGGGCAAGTCGCAGAGGAGTCGAACCTCTGGCATCCTGGTTTCTATAGTAAGAATTAGGGTATTTAGGGTTCTGTAGTAGGAATGAGGGTATTGAGGGTTCTATACGAGGAATTAGGGTATTTTGGGTTCTATAGTAGGAGTTAGGGTATTAAGGGTTTTATAGTAGGAATTAATTAGGGTATTTAGGGTTCTATAGTAGGAATTTGCGGGTTTAAGGAGTTTAGGGTTGTAGCTGGAATTGTTATTGTGGTTTGGGCAAGCATCCCTCACATAGTCCTTGATGTCAAGACTGGCGCGAGCCTCAATCAACAAACGCGCAGAGGCCGCGTGGGCCTTGAAGGCCGCGATGTGCAAGGCTGTCTGGGACTCCTAATACTCCCAATGTTGCTTATAGTTGGTGTTTGGATCGAAGTTCTATAAAACACAACACAAAAAAGCGAATTGTAATGAATCCGTACCTGGCGTCAGCAGCATCTTTTCTATCCGGGTCATGACCTTTCTCCAGAACAGCCTCAAGCCGCTGTGTGTCATTTCGGTGCACAGCGCCGTGCATTTCCTGAAAATCTTTTCTCGACATCTTGGACAAGCATGGTGCGACCACCAGCTGCAGGTCCATTGGAAATTCCAACTTATCTTTCTCCCTCAGCACGCAACCATCGCGAACCAGCGACTGTCTGAAGATGCCAATCCCTGTTGCCCACCGCAAGCGTTGCTTCAATGTCCTCACTGCACTACCGCCACGGGACGTCAAAGCATCAAACTCGTCTTGCCCCAGCTCGAGGACAGGTTCTCCAGACACTCGGCTAACACACAACATGGCTGACCGAACGGCGATTCGGATCAGAAGGTCAATCACATGCACGCGAGTCAACAAAAATCGCAGCAAAGCCCTGAGCCTGGCGTGGCACATGCATGCCATGCCATGCCACGCTATGTATGTCTGTAATGCAGTGTATGCATGTTTAATGCTTGTACCAAGATATGCATACACGTAAGTATGTATAATTTGCATGTAGCAATGGAGGTAACAAGTGCACATGTACGTATGCCTGTACCTACGTGAGTATGTATGTGTGGCGTGTGCATGCGTATGGGTGAGTGTACTGGCACGACATGCTATCTATTCGACGTGTGTTCAACCATTTGTACAAAGCTCCTCGTGCTGAGGGTTTACAAAAAGAAGCTGGCACCGCCTTAGGAATCCGAAAAAACATAGCCGAGGACCCTGTACCAAACCATCCCACATTCAGGAAAAAGATCATAAGCCTACGAATCCAACAACATATCCCAAAGCATACCCTACATAACTTTGTACCACCAACTCACCCCCCCCCCCCCCCCCCCCCCCCATCCTCTCCCAACAAATACAACACAAGCAGCGAAGCCCCCCCCGTAGCAAATACTAGCTCAGCCCTGAACCCTGAACTCCAGAAAGCAAGCAGAACAAAGCGCCTTGGACCGGAAGCTCTCCTCCAACTGCCGGCGGCCCGCGGCATCTTTGGCAAGGCCCGATCGTTGGAGAGCAGAGCCTATAACAACATGGCATGCCAGTTGTTCTTCTGCATTAGAGTGCCATGGCACTGAAAATTTGGGGTTTGTTTGGGATATGCATTCTACAACTTCGTTCCAGGGTTCAGGTGGTTGAGTAAAGGGTTCGCATTCTATGATATGGGGCAGAGGGATTAAAGCTGCTGGGTACAAGCTGTACCCGGTTTAGTCTGCCAAGCGTTAGCGCAAGATCTTGCACTCACTCTCGCCGAACGATTATTCATCGCAAACCGTTCCGGACACTGCCACATCAGCATATAAGTGGTGTGTGCATATATGCATAGTATAAAACAGATAGATCCGTATCAGGCAGATAGACAAATTGATGGATAGCTTACGGTCAGGTTAGGTAACATTGAAATAGATTGGATTCGGATAGGTCAAATTAATTAGGGCTAGGTTAGATTACCTTCCACAGAGAGAGAGAGAGAGAGAGAGAGAGAGAGAGAGAGGGAGAGAGAGAGAGAGAGATACACAGAGAGAGAGAGAGAGATACAGAGAGAGAGAGAGAGAGAGAGAGAGAGAGAGAGAGAGAGAGAGAGCCGGCCGCTCTTACGATTACGGGCATGATGTGGCAAGGCGCTACTGGCATGGACTCGCCTTCATGCTATATATGCCCCGCCAGGGTTTAGCTTGGGGCTCCGGATTGAAATTTTTCTGAGAGCCTACTGCTATGGCCGAAGAGCTTGGTAAACACCAGCAATTGCGGCTAAGGTTGAGGGTGTAGAGCTCAGAAGGGGAGACGCTTACGCTGCTGGTTTTCGTGGGCGCTGGTACATGATGCCAAGCTGCGGCACATGGCTTCGTTCTTGTAGCCGCCTCACTCATGAGCTGAGTCTGAACCCTAAACCCTAGTTTGGAGCTTGCCTATTCAACTGTAGTTCCTTTTTGGGTCACCCTTCAGGATCCTAACTTTCGAACTGGTTAACCCAGAAAATGAACTACAAAGGAGACTGTAGGTGTTCTATGGGCTGACAGCGATCTTGAGGCTTTTGGCCACATCACGTGAGCGTGTCTGATCATTTAGCAAGTTCCGCTGGAGGAGACCTGTTGGACAAAGCAGCCAACATGTGGGTATGTACTTACGCTGTATGGACCTAGCCCCTTGACAGCGACAGCAGGCCGCAAAACGCTGACCCTTTCCGCACCGTCTGCAGAACTACACTTGTAGCCGTGGCATTACGGAGATTCACTGGTTCAGTCCAAGAGGATACGAAACTAAACCATTAACAAGCCTGGTTTACGAATTTTAAACAGCCTCCAAGACAATGCTTTACAATCAAGGATCCTGATATCCCACATCCGGGAAGCCTGTGGCTCATAGAGTTTGGGATTCAGCCTCCTACTACTCCATAGCCCCTCTCTCTCTCTCACTCCATAGCCCCTAAACCCGAAAACCACTCTTTTGTGGAACTGCCCCTAAACCCTATACACCGTGAACCCTAAATCTTAGACCCCAAACCCCAAACGCCAAATCCCATACCCTAAACCCTATAAACCCTAAAAGCCCTAAACCCTTGCACCCTATAAACCCTAAAAGCCCTAAACCCCAAAACGGAGGTGCCTGTGATGGCCGGCCGGCCAAGCTGTGGGTTGCCCAGCGTCGTCCAGCCTCGCCCGCGTAGCTTCCCATCGACTACCTGGGCTCTCGGTCGAGGGTTCAGGGCTTTAAGGGGTTTAGGGTTTATAGGGCTTTAGGGCTTTAAGGGGTTAAGGGTTTAGGGCTTTAAGGGGGTTGAGGGTTTATAAGGGCTTTTGGAGGGTTTAAAGGCTTTAGGGGTTTAGGGTTTAGGACTACCTGGGCTTTAAGGGTTTAGGGTTTAGGGCTTTCGGGGTTTAGGACTACCTGGACTTTTGTTTGAGGGTTTTGTAGTCTCCATTGTAGTTCCTTCTTGTGGTTTAACCTGCATATTTAGGATTTTGTACGGCAAGCCGGAAATCAACAAACAATGGGTAGAGTTGTAGAGAGGCACTTGAAGGCCCAGGGTACATGCAACCCTGTTACGACTGAAGCTTTTAAATAGGGGTGTATCAGTACAATGAGAGCCAGGCAGGGGATACCGTGACGTTGTGAGAGTTTCCGAAAATTAGGGTACCTTATTTTGGGGTCCTTGTAAGGATCCTACTACTTAGGGTGCTATATGAGGGTCCCCCATTTTCGGAAACCCCTTTGTTGACGGTGGAGCCAAGGAGCTGTCCAGCGCAGCTCACCGACCAGATCGATCTGCGGGCGGGCTTGGCTTAAGGCTCATAGCTCCCAATCTCGCCCGACTGTCCGTGTTGCATTCTAGCTTTGGGCTGGTTGTCTGGCGGTGGAGATCAGAAGTAGTTGTATAGATATATACTTGAAGTGCAAAGCTCGAACACACAGCGACTCTGAAGAGAAGCCGTCATTCCCAACACAACACCCGAAAGTCCATGAATTTCCTGAACTACCTACTATTGGGGCCTTAATAATTGGAAAAGGGCTTTGGGGTCCATGATACAAAGTTGGAACATGGACTTACGATGAATAGTGCTGGGATCCCCTATACTTTGCCTTTAGGGCTTGCGGAAAACGATGTTCCAAATTTCTGGCTTCTACTACAGAACTAAAAACCACAAAGACCACATCCACTGAACTCCCTGCACCGAAGAGCAGCCCTAGTCGAGTGAGTTGCAGTGATATTCCTTGGGGTACATCGTGCATAATACCCTAAAGCCCTATCGTAAATATTACCGCCCCTAGATTGGACCTATGTTAACCCTGCGTGCCTTTGCTTGGAGCAGGACGGTCAACTCCGTAGCCTCTCCAAGGGCTCTGTCGGGTTGTCGAGGTTACTCTACTGATTTTCAGTTTAGGATTTGACGATCGGGGTTGTTGGTTTCGTTGGTTTAGGGGTCCGGATTAGGGATTCACCTGCGAAGTGCAATAGGCACTTGTGAGGCATATCCTTCAATTGTGAAGGGTTTGAACAACTGATTTTCCAGCAGGTGTCCGAATGTGTAATCTTTCTTTTTGATGGATTTCCTAGCTCCTACTTGCGACCCAGTTCCTATGTCGTTCGGCCTACTACAGTAGGTAACTCAGCACTATCGGGACTCCCTTATTTTCGTCTGTCGTCGTTGATACAGCCAAAGCCCGGGCTTACAGCTTTGGGAATATTTAGAAGATAAGGGGGCTCAATATAGCACCCTGAATAAAACCTATAGACCGTAAGCCCAATATCTAACACGTAATAATTCCTAAGCAAAGCTGGACGTCGAAGGGAAAGAGGCGGGTTGTGAGTGTCAGGTGCAGGGGTTTAGGATTAAGTTCAGGGTCTTGGGTTAGAGTGCAGATCATCGTGCCGGAGGTTCTTTCTGGCAAGCTACACTGAAGAAGAGAACTAAAGGAGCAAACCGTAGACTCTGAGCCCTATCGCCCCTTGCAGCCGTAATGCTGTCCCTAGGCTCAAACCTGAAGGAGCGCAGAGCCCGACGCCGAGAATGAATTGGTCGGGCTTGTGGGATCTGATGTGTACTGGGGGCAATAGGACTCATGGTTTAGGAAATTTTGTCCTAGGCCCTCATGAGCGCTGCCGGCAGAACGTGAAACGATTCGTTGCGGGGGCACTTACTTGAACAACCCGTCTCGGCATAAAGGTTACTATACCACAGGTACCAGCAAAACAGGATCGTCGCAGGGCTTCCAACAAAAGAAGGAGGACCGACCAACATCAATTTTCAGTGCTACGATCCTCAGTACAAAGAAGCCGTGCATGAGGTTTCCTTTACCGTAATTCCCGAACGAAGCCACGTAGGCTTCCGCGAAACAGTCATTTTATGTTCTGAGGGGCGGAGTACCTTAGCCACCTGAGCCCAACGAAGGCTGACCTTTTCAATTCTATGGTGGGATCAATTGGTTACAGGCTCCATGCGCAGCCCCCAAGGCGACTTTCCCGTGGCCTGCTGTGGCATCTTTGGAACCACCCGTCTCTCCAAGAAGTCTGGTACCTTGTATCAGAGGAAGGGGTGGAAGCAGGAGCTCCCGACCTTTAGGGTTGGGGTGTACCTAGACCCCGCAACTACCCTCCAATATACCCCAAATGCAAACTATTAAGAGCCATAAGGGCTCCATTAAAGGGCAATTGGGGGATCCTGGTAGGGCGGAGGTTTCCCTTTTGTTCTGGAGACTCCAATATCCCTTAAACACGGAATATACCTTAAACTGCAGTAGGATCCCTCAAATGATTTAAGGAATATCCGTAATTAAGAGATAATGGAGTCTCTGGGTCGAGGGCATCTACT